TACTACTCCCTCCATTTCTAAAAATAACTCTTAGAATCTCAATAAAGACTTACATTTAGGAATGGAGGAAGTAACCTTTTCTATAAAATTGGTCAATTTTTTTTGGCTTAGTGTAAAATGTAGACGTACACTTATTCACGTACGGAGAGAGTACTGTTGAAAGCACGTTTTTTTTTGGTGAGACCTCCACGAATGTCATTTAATCACAAAAAAATACGGGCAGTCAAACATTTTGTCAATGTTTGTAGAAAAAACTAGGGATGGAAATGAAAATAGAGCTCTTTCGGCCTTTGTTTCTCTCTTCACGGAGGGATGGAGATCCGTGCGTGCTCACGTCCATGGATGGCATGGGCACATCCAAGAAATCATGGGGCCGTAGGAAGGTCGCTGCAGTGTCACTGAGCTGGATTACATGGCCCCGTCATCTCCCTTATCTGGCCACGATGTGACACCACCGAAAGCACTGTGCCTGCCTTGCCTAGTACGTACACATCTCTCCGTCTAACCCTACAGGGCGAGTGACAGCGATTTCAAACTCATTGCTCCTGCCCTGCGACTGCTAGTCCCATCTCTAGATCTCCTGTTTGTTGGTACCACTTGCCTGTTTTGTAAACACAACTGTTGATTGGACATGTTTGTTGTAATTTCTTTTCTATGTAGTGAGAGCAACCCCAATCGGCCGACCCAAACGGACGGCGAATTTGTCCGCTTTTGTCGTTTGGGTCGGCCGTCCATCCGGCATCCGCTCTGTTTTAGATTTGGGTCGACAGTGCGCCCAGCGCGCCGATCCATTTCATGTCCGCACTCAACTTTTAGAAAAAAGACCCGCGGCCATAGATCATGCCAATGGCCATGTCTCGTGTCGGCACCATGCCAGCGCCGGCATACAATGTCGGCTTAAAAAAAATATCACCATAGTTTATGTTGGCGCACTCGCCAGCAGCCGACACACATGTCAGCATACAAAAAAGGGGTAGAACTTGAGTTCGACCACGCCATCGCGGCCCCGTGGTCATGCCAGCAGACCTGCCGGCATAAAAAAAAGAATGGCGCTCGTCGTCGAACTTAAGCATGTCGGCATGCATCTTCTCGAACCACGGCCTCTTCCTTGGTGACACGGTGTTGAGATCCACCTTCATGATCTCCACCCCGGTCATCTGTTGGGAAACGTAGCATGCAATTTCAAAAAAATTCCTACGCTCACACAAGATCTATCTAGGAGATGCATAACAACGAGAGGGGGAGAGTGTGACCACGTACCCTCATAGACCGAAAGCGGAAGCGTTTGCTCAACGCGGTTGATGTAGTCGAATGTCTTCTCGTTCTGACCGATCGAGTACCAAACGTACGACACCTCCGAGTTCTGCACAAGTTCAGCGCGATGACGTCCCTCGAACTCTTGATCCAGCAGAGGTTCAAAGGAGTAGATCAATTCCGTCAGCACGACGATGTGGTGACAGTGATGGTGATGTGATCCGCGCAGAGCTTCGCTTAAGCACCGCGAGAATATGATCGGAGGCGTAAACTGTGAAGGGGGGCGCCGCACACGGCTAAGAGCAATTGTTGTGTCTCATAGGGGAGGAGGCCGGCCTAGGGCCTGCCAAGTGAGGAGGAATCCCACTTGTACTCCTAGTCCTATTCGCACCCCGCCCCCCTTCCTTCTAACGGAGCGGGAAAGGGGGAAGGAGAGGAAGAGGGAGAAGGAAAGGCCCCAACCCCTTGTCCAATTCGGACTCCCCAGGGGGGGTGGGGTGACACCCACTTGTGGGCTGCCTTGCCTCTCCCCTATGGCCCATATGGCCAATTACTTCCCCTGGGAGGTTCCGATAAACCCTCGGTACTCCGATAAATATCCGAAACACTCTGGAACCATTACGGTGTCTGAATACCACCTTCCAATATATCAATATTGACCTCTAGACCATTTCGAGACTCCTCGTCATGTTTGTGATCTCATTCGGGACTCCAAACAACCTTCGGTCACCAAAACACATAACTCATATAATACATATCATCATCGAACGTTAAGCGTGCGGACCCTATGGGTTCGAGAACTATGTAGACATGACCGAGACACCTCTCCGGTCAATAACCAATAGCAGAACCTGGATGCTCATATTGGTTCCGACATATTCTATGAAGATCTTTATCGGTCGAACCGCGATGTCAACATACGTTATTGTTGGGGAATGTTGCAGAAAATTAAAATTTTTCCTACGGTTTCACCAAGATCCATCTATGAGTTCATCTAAGCAATGAGTCATGGGAGAGAGATTGCATCTACATACCACTTGTAGATCGCGTGCGGAAGCGTTCAAGGGAACAGTGATGATGGAGTCGTACTCGCCGTGATTCAAATCAATGATGACCAAGTGCTGAACGGACAGCACCTCCGCGTTCAACACACGTACGGTACGGACGACGTCTCCTCCTTCTTGATCCAGCAAGGGGGAAGGAGAGGTTGAGGAAGAAGGCTCCAGCAGCAGCACGACGGCGTGGTGTTGGTGGAGAGGCAGT